ATTTAGCCCATCAAGCCTGCTCCACCATTCTAGGTCATGACTGATCATCTCCTCAATATCATTTTCCCACTCTAACTCCATATCCTTTAATATCATTAAATGGTTAGGTTTCTGGAAATTATGTTTGAGCCTGCTCAATGATTGTGCTTCCACAACCTTCTGGGTTAAGGAATTCCAAAGTTCAAGTTCATAGCATTCTATCCAACACCATCTTCTACAAAAAGTTTACTAGAGTTTTATGAAATCCCTACTGAAGATTTTTTTTTTTTACAATTTCAGATATTAAATGATTTTTAACCAGGCATTTCACAAAATTGAAGCATAAACTCAAAAACCATAACTGAGTAAAATGCAAAGGTTCAAGTATGATTTCTGTTTGTAACTTAAATGGATAAATTATGGAGATTAGATTTTTTTTGGTGCTTTGGTTTCCTTAAATGATCGAAGAGCTCCAAAAAGGTACACTAGCATGGACTTTGTAATAGCAACATACTGAACATATCAGTGCCACCCTCATTAAACTGCACAGTCACTGTCAATACATTTGGGAGTCTGCTGTGTGCAGAGTAATGTAAAAATGCAGATGTTGTGGTCTGTGATCTACATTCAGAATCTAATTTCTGAAGAAGTCCCCTCCAAAACTGATACTTGTTTCTATCCATCTTGAATCATTTATTATTCCATTAGAATATTTAATTAAGAAATGAAGGATCAAGTACATTTAAATTTTCTGATATTGTGTCCGAGAATACTTCAAGGTGATTGGCTCCTCACATTTTGCATCCTGATCTCACTGCCATGATAATCTCTTCATGTGGGTGCTAGGTTTAAAACCTGGTTAGGCAAGGGAAATAGTTACATTTTGTGAGCAGCTTTCTTTGGAGTCAACAGGAAGTGCTGTTGCTTTACTGATGACTGCAAACTCTAGCTTGCAATTTTCAAAAAGTCGGATAGAAAGGATGGATAAATAACTAATTATTCCATGTGAGGTAGTTACTTTATCTGTGAGGTTTGGAGTCAGTTGATATTGGTATTTAACGCACCAATAGCACGTGTTCACTGAATACTCCGAGTGATGGCCATCAGACTGCCTATCAAGGCAGAGATGAACAATCTGAAATCTGTTTAGCAATATAGTACTTGGTCACAGGATACTTAAAGATTCTTTCTTTTTTATAAAGAAAATTTTACCAAGCTGGAATCACACTTCACACATCTGAAAATATCTCCCTTCTGAAACTTCATCCACAATGATTAGATAAATACTTGGATCAGTTTGTTAGTACACTGCCAATTTAATCTGATGGTCAAAAGCAACACACATTTACAAGCATTGCATGCCAGGCCTGAAAATATATTTAGCCTTAGAATTCCAGAGTAAGCTTTTGCACTACGGCAAATATTTTTCTGTGGATTTTGAAAGAAAGAATAAAATTAGAATAATCTACAAAAGGTTTTTTTTTGTAATAAAATTCAGTCTCAATGCAAATCTCCCTCTCAGCCTAGGCTTTGCTTCTATTTGCTATCTACAATGGTTTGGGTTTTTCATCTGTTTCCTACATTTCAATGGTCCTAACCTTGGAACTTCCTTAGATAAAATGTTGAAAGGTAGGGCCAGGCTGATTGCATATGCTTACACGCATGAACATCAGTTGATCAGTGCAAGAGATAGACTTATTCAAATAGATGGCTTTTTCAAACTAACTTACCATCCAGCATTATGACAGTGTCCTGTGTGTATGTGTAGGAATGTGAAGAACACCATTTTTACAATATCCAGTCTAATCTTTTAGAGCTTCATATATGGCAGAAATTCTAGTAATCAAACAATGATTTTATCTCAATATTTAGTTAATTTTAATGAACTTGAATATGCCATTTTAAGTAGGTCTTCTATTATCGGTTCAGAATCCAAACCCAAGAACATATTAAAAAACAATACCAAACGTCTGACTCACCTTCCCAAGAACTGCACTTCCCCTCGATGATGATGAGGAACTGATTTGTATTTTCCTAAATCACCCCCTGGTCTTGTTACTGTAAGTCCAGCAAACTGAACCCTGAAGACAGCCAAACAGATTCTTTAATACATGCTCTTCATTCAATCAAAACTTAGAAATTTTACACTTGCTTTGAAGCAAATCGAGTTTCAAGTCAAACTTTCCAAAACTTATCTTAAAACAAGGCTTTTGTCGCGAAGAATTTCAACAGCAAACACATCTGCCACTTGAAGCTGACAAAACAGTCAGCAAGCACAGCTCAAAAAACATTCAGAAGATTACTCACTTTTGGTAGCAGCACCTATTGTTTTTCAACTTAAATTATCCTCCATTCACCTCAATTTGTGTCAGAAGAAAGGATAAAGAATAACTCGAGAAATTTTCCTAATGACAGACCTTCCTAACTAATCTAGTGCGATTCAGTCTTGGGCCTGTACACGATATTGCCATTTTAAAATTGAGAATCCATGTAATCCAAACAAGAGCTGCATTAATGAATCTACTTTCCTTTTTAAAGAATACAGAATTCAGTACATCAATACTAATTAATTACTCAATAACAAGTGTGTAAATCAAACTTGTCTCAAAAAGACACGTGAAAAGAAAAGTATTTTGTGGTAAATAGACATAATTTAGAACCTCAAAAGCAAAGAACCAAAACTGACTCCTGGTCTAGGTTCAAGGTAATTTAGCAGAAATCATGAAGTAACAGGTATAATCCTGAAAAGTTGCAAGTTCATTCCTAACAAGAGATTCATCCTGATTCTTTGAAGAATTCTTCAATTACGATATTAGTAGGGCTTAGTACCTACTTAATGTATCCACCATTCTTCAACTCAGGTGAAAAATTCAAGTCTCAGGATATTTACTTTCAATCTAGCTTCCCCTCTTGTATATGGGGCTCATTACTTAGCCCTTAGATAGCACCACTCCACCACACCGTACCAGAATCTCACACTATTGGACACCAAACCAATTTTGCAAACCTTCTCCCTAGCCCTAACTGCAGCAGAAATATCAAATCAATCTAATGTCAAACTGTGAATGCTGGAAATTGAAATTAAATCATACGTAGCAGGATTAATCTTTTCAGATGGTGACAAACACCAATGTCCCTGGCAAGACATTCCAGTAAAATACTTAAACTTGAGTACTGTGAAATGTAAGCATACTTTGTTCTTTCTAAGCTTACTCAAGAGATTCAGCAAATTGTTAATTACTTTATGCAAATAGAAGGTAAATTTAAGTATGCAACACCTGTAGTATGCAACACCTGTAATATGTAGCAAAGCTGGTGCAGTAACTAGCAGTTTTATCTTCAGGTCTACTACATTAAAAGTAAAATGGAAATGTTCCTAATTGAAATGAAATGGAGATACAGCTGTTCCAGATATCTTACAGTAATGGGGAAAAGGTATATCACTGACCTGTGTTTTGTAGAATTTGTTCATATTTTTGTGGCCTGGGATAGTTTTAAAGCTTCATAGCCCTCTTGGGTACTATCAATTTGAAAGACTTGAAATCAGGAGTTTCAACTTGGCAAATAGAACTACAGCCTTTTCTTCTCTTCAATCCACGATGGAATAGATAGGATAGATGCAGGGAGGTTATTTCCACTGGCAGGTGAAACTGGAACTGGGGGCATAGCCTCCAAGTAAGGGGAAGCAGAGTTAGGACCCCCAAAGGGTTGTGAATCTGTGGAATTCCTTGCCGAGTGAAGCAGATGAGACTACCTCATTGAATGTTTTGAAGGGGAAGATAGATTTTTGAAAAGTAAAGGAATTAAGGATTATGATTAGCAGATGGGTAAGTGCAGCTGAGTCCATGAAAAGATCAGCCATGATCTTATTGAATGGCAGGACTGACTCGATGGGCCAGATGACCGACTCCTGCACATATGTTCTTATGATTATCTCACACTCAATTCTTTTTGAATCTCTTTACATTCTTCCCTAACACCTCCAAACAACCTTGGATAACTCAAGGAATCCAACTGTAGCAAAGTTGTCATCCATTCATGAGATGACATCAAGTAGGAAACCTAAAAGAAGAATGGCTACAGTCAGAGAAAGGCTCTTCAGATGAGCCAAAGTTGGACTTGCTTCTCGTATGACAGTACTGCTCAATTATCACAGAGTTTGACCACACTAAGGAATGAGATCATGGACAAATCTATAGCAATAGCTGTAAAATAGTTTCACCAACTGGTGGACACCAAGAGACATTTTTTGCACGAATGAAACTGGACTGTTTTACCTTTTTTTTTTGCCAGATTTCTCTTTAATGTTTAAAGATGAAGTGTATAATGCAAAAGCAAGTGTATCACTGCTGTGGTCTACACCAACATGGATGGAACTGAAAAGCTGCTTGTGATAAGGTGGTCCAGGAAGGCACAGTCACAAAACAATGTAAAGACACTATCCATACAGCACACTGTGACCAACACTGCCTGGATGACCTCCAGCATTTTTGAGAGGTAGGTCAGGAAAGTGGATAAAATGCGTCAATGAAAAAGGATGATTACCACTTCAATGATCTGTTCACCTGCCTGATCCCCCTCACTGAATCTGTCAGGTTTACAGAAATGCTCCAGGATTTCACCCTGCAGCATAAAAAACACAGAAAACATGTTTGACTGCATCAATGGGTTTATAGGTAGGTGATGGCTTGGTGCTATTAAATTGCTACACTATTAATCCAAAGACCAAGGTACTGTTCTGACACCCTAGGTTCGAATCCCACCACAAGAGGTGGTGGAACTTGAATTCAATAATAATCTGAAAGTAAGAGTCTGATGATAATGAAATGTCAGGAAAAACCCATCTGGTTCATAAATGTCTGTTAGCTTCCCCAACTGCCATCCTTATCTGGTCAGGCCTGCATTCGATTCCAGAACAACAGAAATGTGCTGGACTCTTAAGTGCCCTCTGGGAAGTTAGGGATGGGTAATAAATGCTGGTCTACCCAGCAATGGCCTCATCTCTTGATAGAATAAAAACACAGACCTTTCCAGCTTGCTAAACGGAAAACGATAACTTTGTTTTCCAGAGCTAACTTGCAACATTTTGACACATTTTTTATTCTAACTACAGTTAGGCCATAGCAAGAGGTGAACAAACTTAAAATTAAAATAATTTCTCCTTTCTTTGCACAGTGAGAGTTTGTAGGCAACTGGTGTTCCATTAGAGTTACCTCAGCTAACACAATTTTGATTATCAAGCTGTTGATCATCTTCATCTGTTCTAATACCTAATGTGACACAGTAATTCAGAGTCACCTTTGAGAAACCTCATGGGATGTTTTACCAAAAGTGGTACAGAAATATCAATTGCTGCCCTTTCTGCAGCCATCAGCATTGCATATCACACAATTTTTCTTTAATACCTTTCAACTATCTAGCCCAGATACATTTTTGATTTGATTCTACTCTTAACCAGCTGAGTGGGCCAAAGCAATGTCAACAGTGATGGCTCTCCCAAAATCCTCAATCACCAGGAAGTAGGCATACTTGCCCCTCCTCTGCGTCATTTGGACATATGGGGTCAGCTTCTACAATATTTTGGGGGACATTCAATACAATTCTCCATTGCTTTCTGACTCCATGCCCTTCCTCAGCTAAGCACTGGGAAGGAAAAAACCTATAGTTTCAGCTCCAAACACCATATTCTTGTCACTGATTCTACCCCTCTACACTTAAATCAGGGTAAACCAAACCAAAGTTAATATCCCTTCAATTCTAAATATTCTCCAACAAAAAAAAAAACTGTACTTTGATAACTTTCACATCCAGACGCTCCTAATACAAGGCACTGTACCTGGTTTGAGTGACTGAAAACATTTTTCATCTTACTTTTATATGATTGATTCTAAATAAAGAGGGTGTGGCCCCTTGATAGATTCCTTGGTCAGAGTAAAATTACTTCATGATACTTTTCAGAATTTTGTTTATTTCGATGAAATCTCCAATTCATTCACCCTCTCATAGACTTGATTAATAATAGGTTCCTGCATTTTCCAAATGATTTGGATCAGGCCTACAGGCATGTATGTTCCCTGCCTTCTTTCTCCCACCTTTCTGGAATAACAGTATTGTACTTGCTAATTTCAAATCTCCTGAAACCTTTCAGAATCAAGGGTATTTCAATCACAGCCGCTTACTTTCTGCTTCCTCTCTCTCTAGACACCTCTCTTTCTGTCTTCATCTCATTGAAATCACTTTCATAGTCTAAGCATTTAAATCAATCATTGCTCTTATTCCATTCAACTTGTCTAAGTATCAGTTTTTTTCTTTATGCTTAGAAAAGCATTCCTGGTGGTTTACAATGTTAAAAGATAGTATGTAAATTTATGTAGCATTACAACCATTGATACATTGCTCATCAACCATACAGTTTGAAAGAGATAGAGCGAATAAGAGATTATTTGCAGCTGGCTAGTGAATTGTGGTCTGAATTACGATTTCTAAATATTAGATCAGTCTGTATTTACACATAAAAGTATGTATTGATTTCAGACATCTAAAAAGTTTAGAAATTAGAGTCACACGATCATTACAAATGAGCAAGGACATCATGTGCTTTTATCATCTTTGCTTGCGTAAGCTTGCGAAAAACAGGGTAAACTGAATGCATCAGGAGTATTTATTTAAAGCTAAAATGCTTCATTGTACAAGTGATATTTATTGCTTTTCATCATTCCCATTTAGAAAACTACCAATGTCACATTTGTAGCGGTGGATTGCAGCAGTAACAGACATAAACATCCTAATTACCAAATCCTTTATGATCTCCAATAAAAGCTACAGACCCCAAAATTCCTATATCTGGGTGATCAAGGTGAGAGTTCTCAGGAGGGGTGTTTGAAGCAGAGTTTGGATTGGCAGTTAGTATTAACTATTGGATTTGCCTTGGTTTGCTTTGCTGAGATTTTCTGGCAGCTGCTACACTGGACATGCTAATGTCAGATATTATTATTGAACAAGTCAGAGTGAATTCTGACTTGATAAATAAAAACAGAAACAAAATATGATCTAATGATGTGATCTTAAAAAGATAAATACAAGCACACGATGCTGCAGATTTTGTTTAACTGTAAAAACAAGTGTTCATGCAAAAGAAATAAACTAGATTAAACTAAACTAGTTAATACAGCATAACTTGAAAAGATTTTGAAACACAATAAAAAAGTGCAATTTCATCTGCACTAATGCCATCACTCTATATAGTGCTCAGGAACCACAGAAAATCCCCTTCCCTATCACATCTATAGATCTGATTTAACTGTTTCTTCCAATTTCCAGTCTGGAAAGTTTGATACTCTTTATTGATTTGTCACACAACTCAAATTGAAATTTTTCTTAATTTCAAATAACCCTTTCAGAATTCTACCCAACTGTGTCTAGTCTGGAACTTTCATCTAAAAGACTTGCACTCAGGTAACCTATTTCCAACATTTCTGAATTAACATCTTTCTCTAGGAAAAACTTTCATAAATCTAACTTCAAACAAGACTTACTTCTGCGATCTGAAACCAAAATATTTTCAGACTCTTTTTTTCATTTAAGCAAGAGGAAAAAAAATACATCGCTGATTCTTCTAACTGAAAGCAAGCTAAAACTCTTCAATTTTTACTCTGTTCACTCATGAAATTCTCCCAATGGTAACACATTTCCATCAATACTCCAGGAACTCTCACACTGTTGTTTAAAACAAAAACTAGATTCCAAAAATATTGACCAGTTAAATCAATAAAGCCCCTCATACACATTTTTTTTTTTTTTTAAAAACTCATGCACCCTACATCACACCAATGAGGTGCTGAACTTAGGATGAATTTATGCACCACTGACTCCAACAATCTGCTCTCCTCACTAACCCCCTTCACTTCCTATGGCAGTGGAGCCCTCCAACATTTTCAGGCCTGAAAGCTTAAAGGATGTAAATTCAGCTTGTCTTTTTTAATAGTAGAAATAAAAAGTCAAGGAAGATTACTTTTAAGGTGCTATTGATTTGAATACATCCAGCTGTTTCAAACCAAACCACTTTATAGGAATTGAATTCATGACATGTGAATGAATACAGATGTAATTATTTAATACATCAAAACGAACCAACCTTTTCCAGAGATCATCATCTTCACCTCCCCAACCCCAAAATGCATTTGGGAAACCATTGATTTTCTTAAACTGTTCCACTGTCAATCCACTGACTCCACCAAAAAATTCATTGTAAGGAAGTCTGTCAATGAAAAAAAAGACAACTACAATAAACAATTAAAATGTATTTTAAATAATTCAATATTTATTTAGGTGTTTTAAGGTTAGAAATAAGAGATTCATGTAGTTGCAGAAATACATTAAGAAAAATTATATGAACATAAAAACTTGGAGAACTAGTAGGTGATTCAGACCATTAAGCCTGCTCTGCCATTCAAAAAGATCATGACAAATGTCACAGTAACCTCAGATCCACATTCCTTTCACCCTCTTGCTAAACAACAATCTGCCTCTACCTTAAAAATATTCAAGGACTCTGTTGCCACTACCCTTTTGGAAAATGGGTTTCCAAGACTCGAACTACAGAAAGAAGTTTGCGTCAGTTATGTACTAAATGGGTGGCCCTCGTTCTCCCATAAGAGGTAGCATACTCTCTACATCTACCCTGTCGAGATCCCTCAAATCAGCTCATTCTTCAAAACATCAGCACATACAAGTCAAACCTGTCCAACCTTTCCTTTTAAGGCAACACCAGCATTCTAGGCATTAGACCAGTAAAACTTTTCTCAACTGTCTTAAATCATTTACATATTTCCATAAATGAAGTGACCAATACTGGACATAGTACACCAGATATGGTCTTATTAGCACCCTGTATAATTGAAGCATAACTTCCTTATGTCTGCATTCAAATCCCCTCAAGATAAATAACGGGATCTATTAGCTTTCAGAATTACTTACTTTACCTGCACACTAACCTTTTGAAACATGCATGAGGACACTAAAAACCTTCCTCATCTCAAAGCTCTGCAACCCTCTCACTATTTAGATAATATTATAAATTTTTATATTTTTCTTGCCTAAATGGACAACGTCGCATTTTCCCACATTCTCCTCCATTTACCAGATATTTTAATACTCACGTAACCTATTAATTTTTTTTTTTGTAACCTCCCGGTGTTCTCTTCATAACTTACTTTCCTACCTATCTTCACAGCATCATTAAATTTGGCAATCATACTTTCCATTCCTTCATCCAAGTTATTTTTACAAATTATAAGCAGTCGAGATCCCAGAATTTATCTTTGCGTATGCCAGGATCAGGGTTTATACTCGGCATGATGAATAGTAAATAAAATGATAGTTGGAGCAATTAACAATGGAATTGTTGCAAACTTTCTATGACCTTCTTAGTGATCTTTTACACAGCATAAACAAGGCTGTTTGAACAAGTCACTAGCTTACAGAGCTTTGAGGAATTGTGCATTGTATGGACCTTCATAGAGTGCAAGGCAAAAAGAATGGACATCTTGTGAACTTCATTCAAATAAAAATTTGCTGGAATTTCACACAAAAATGTTAAAGCTAAATATACTTCCTTAATGACATTTTTAAAAGAGACATATTTCTAGACCTGATTAACCACTTGAGATTAAATGAGAAATGGACGTACAAGTACATGTATTTATCTAGCTTAGTTGCAAAGTGCCTTGGCATCTGTCCACAACCATAGTAGTTGCGATCATTTTCGGGTATATGATCAACATCGTGAAAGATCACACAATCCCAGTCCATATCTTTCAAAGCCTCCATAAATCCAACATTGAACAGCATTGCACGGTTAAATGGGTGGAAGCCAGCCTGAGGAGAAAAAGTAAGAAAACAATTAAGTTCCAACACCATACAAATTTTTTTGAAATGCTCTTTTAAAAATATTAGGCAAAAGAGCGTGAAAGGTCCTTTTCAGTGTTACTTGATTCAGAATTACAACGGCATTATAAATGTTGTTTACAGTTTTCCTGCGTCTATAAGCACAAAGAACATACTTCAAGTATCCTCCCAAACGCCACTAACACAATCTCAAAATTATGGTGATATGTATACATCTCACCATTAGATTACAGATTTTATCTACACTGCACAAAATTGAAAACCAGACAATGGAATTTTTAAAAGATTTTGAAATAGTAAGTTTCTAATAATTCAATTCACATTGCAATTGGTAGCAAAAAGAAAACAGGGGCACTTGAAATAGGACTGATAATAATGCAAGGTACAATTATAAATTGAAGGAAGACTTTTATACAGTATAAAATTTTTCATGACCACTGGACAGAATGCTTTAATCACCAATTAATTACATTTTAAGTCCATTTATTGCTATACTGCTGAAAACACCACAAATCAAGTTGCACCAGTGGGACCAGTTTTGGGCCACATATTTAAGGAAAGATATGCTGGTATTGGAGGGGGTCCAGAGGTGGTTTACATTAATGATCCAAGGGAAGAAGGGCTTGTCACATGAGGACCGGTTGAGGACTCTGGGACTGTACTCTGATGGAGTTTAGAAGGATGAGGAGGGGTTCTAATTTAAACTTACAGAATACGGAGAGGACTGGATGTGGAGAAGATGTTTCCATGAGTAGGACCTGATGGCACAACATCAGGAGTGAAAGACAACCCCTTAGAGCTGAGATGAGGAGGAATTTCTTCATCCCGAGGGTGGTGAATCTGTGAAACTCATTGTCTCAGAGGGCTGAGACCAAATCATTGAATGTATTTTAAAACAGAGATAGATATGCTCTTGATTGGTGAGAGATCAAGGATTATGGGGAGAAGGCAGGAAAATAGGGTTGAGAAATTATTAGCCATGACTGAATGATGCAACAGACTCAAATGGGCCAAATGGTTTAATTCCGCCACTATGCCATATGGTCTTACCAGTAAACTCTCACAAGCAGCAATGGGCTAATGACCAGATAACCTGTTTCTGTTGCAATATTGATCGTGGGATCGGTCTGGACACCAAGGATAATTCATCTGCTGTTCTTTTAAAGTAGATATATGGGATCTTCTACATCCACGCAAGCAGGCAGACTGAGGCTTGATTTAACATCTCTTCAAAATGCAGTGAAATAAGTGAAACAAAATTCATGCAATGTTCTGCTGCAAAGTTAGACTTTACCCATAGCACCTTCCGATAAGTATAATGCGGCTTTTTCATTTTAGAAAAGTCTTAAGCTGTGTAATCCATTTAGGTTGGCTATTTCTCTTATTATTGAATTTTAGACTGCGAGACTATAAAACCATTTAAGTTTCCTGCATTCCTATATCGTATGGTCACATGGTCATGCAATTTCTTTGCATGTTCTTTAGACTTTAGTGTGTGGCTTGCAAAGAATTTCAATCCTTGTGTAAGTGTGCATTCCTGGAAATTGGAGAAAAGATGGCATCCCAGACTGCCTGCTTGGATTGATGTAGGAGACTATATTGCATGATTTTAAAGAGAAGCCTTGATGCCCATACCAATATTTATCCCTCAATCAATATCACAACAGAAAACAGCATTATCTGGTCATCAGCACATTGGTTCTTGTGAAGCTTACTGCTACAATTTGATTGTTCTGTTCTCTGAAGATGACTGGACTTGATATGAACTTTGTTGGCTATAAAGCATTCAGTCCATCGGTGGTGAAAAATGTGATATAAATACAAATCTACCAAACTTCTACCAAAGTGCATTGACTTGCTGAGCTTGAAGCCACTTGCTGCCTGCTCTAACTAGGTACATATTCTAGTATTTGATTGCCAAGAACGTGTCAACTTTCACAGTATAGGAAACACTCCTTTCAGCAAGAGGTCTTCTTCCAAAGGGGGCTCAACTCGATTCCACCATTTGGACAAGAATAAATTGTTTCTCCTGCCCACCCCACTCCACGCTCATGTCCTGGTTATCAGTCAGGCAGATGACGCAAGACCTTGCATCCCATGCTCAAGCCAAAGCACTACTCACCACAACATATGCAACCATACTACCCCAGTTTCCTTGATTTTTAAAACTTATGTTGGTCCCTGCATTTGGGATTTTAAAAATACACATTTCCAGAGAAAGAAGAAACAAGATGAAAATAGCTAACCAACTAATACAAAGTCTTATCTGCCAAAAGCTCACTGTGGATTTACTTTGAGCCTATTGTATCATTATTTTCACAAGTTGCATGTTCCTCAGACATGTTGCAATCACAGCAAGACTCTGAACTCAAGCCTAACTGACAATCAGATCAAACGCTCACATCGTAGAAAGACTCTGCAGCAGACAGGATCAAACGATACATTCCAGACAAACTTCTGCTCCAAAATGGATCAGAAATCTGGTCCAACCCACTCGTGTTGAAAGTTGGCACATGCTTAAAAATTAGAGATCCAGCCCATCAGGCTGCACATCACACCCACCTTGTTGTTATGTATCCCTCTTCTTCAGTTTTCACAGTAAGTCAAGTTTTCACATAAATGGTTGAAATTGTATTCCCAATGAAAAGGTATTAATTATGAACCGTCTATCCTATTGCCTTGTTTCTAATGAATATACGCCTTGCTTCTACTGTCTGTGTGTATTATTTAAAGACTCTTATCACTGATACAATTATTGTGAATCTCATGTCCTCTCAAGGTGTTAACATAATTTTCAAAAGTAATGCCAACAGAATTGATAATGGTATTCCATTTGCATCCAAATCTATTATTCATCTTGATTTAATATTACTTGGATTTTGTACTTTCTGCAATGTGTTATAGAATTTTGCAACCCAAATATTGTCCATTTAAAAGCTTTATCCGTACCCTTCTGTATCTGTTCCTTGAAACATATAAACTAGGGTATATCATTCAATGGAAATTTATAATCTCTCACTTCTTTGCATTGCATTATATCTATCTACACAATTTATTGTTCCGTTCGCTTCCTCCTGCAGTCATTTAAGTTCTGTCCAAGTTCAAATCATTTACATACATATGACAGCAGAACTATTAGTTACATCCACAAGATTTGACAATTCAAACTATTAGAAAAACATAACACAAAACGTCAAAAATAGCATTTGTATGCAAAATTCTTACTATTAGCTTTGCTAATTCCAGTCTTTACACACTTGTTTTAGAGGTTGTGTTCATTGGATGCAAATTTTAGGCTGACATAGAATGTTACGAATCTGAAAACAAGTTTACCTTTTCTGACAAGAATATGGAAAAGCATTTGGAAAATAAGCTTTTATTTCCCTTATGAAATTCATACAGCAGTGCTATTGGAAAAACGCAGCATGCATCTGTTCGGCAGACTCGACACTTTTTTTTAAATGTGACAAATAAGTTCTAGATAGCTAAGTATTTCTGCAAGATTTGCAGAAGCTGTAATCAAAGTAAGTTTCCAAATTTTATGATGTTACCTTGCTGCCTATTAAATACTATTCAGTTTTTAATTCAACAATTATTTACAATTCATGATTTGACTTTTACAAATACCTCTTTACTCATTAATGAGCTTAAACACACACACACACACACACACACACACACACACACACACAGAGAGTGAAAGACCGAGAAAGGTTTTTTTGACAAAAGTGATATCACAACAATGCATGTTATTTTCACTTAACATTCAGGTTAAATAGCGGTGTTGGCTGTATAAAGAGCTTGCAACTTACAGCAGTCATTTGTAATAGCAGTGATGAAATTAGTTTTAGCATATCACATCAATATTGCTAAGTAGTGAAAAGAGAAGGTACTCCAGTTGCTTTACCAGAAGACAGAAATTTTGCAGTAACAAGTAAAGCCCAATGGTAAACAATGTGTAAATCTTAAGAATTGTACATTTAAAAAGTATTAGGCTGAAAATCTTATATTACATTGTTTTCAGGTTCATCCTCTCAAAGTTTTTCCCCCCCTATTTATACCACTCACCTGTTCAATAACATAAAAAGCAAACTGCAAGCGTTGATGCTGTAGCATTGGAATGAGATGTCTCAACAGGATTGGGAGATGTTCATGACGATTGCGGAAAGGGATCAAAATTGCGACCTGAAATCATACAACTCAGATCAGGTTATCTCCAATAATGGATTTGGGGGCAGAATTCTGGAACATATTCAAGATGTTCAAACATTCCAAAAATTAACTATTGCCAATGCTGCGGAGCATCGGGGAGACAGCAGTGTTTCCTACATCACATATTCAATGAGGAGGCCACGCCACAGGCAGAGTGTGTTCTGGACAATTGATTTGTGACAATTAGAAATAATTAAAAGCAGAAAGTGCAGGAGTATTCATGGTGTGTGCCACTCCTAATAGTAATCGACATTAGAGACTACTGGCAGTGATAACACTGGGCACTAATGGGCAAGAGATTGAACACAGGAGGAAAACAGCAAGGTGTAGAAATTCAGGCATTTCAGAAAATTCTACAGTTAGGAGAAGAGTGCTGATTATACTGTTAGGGGAAGGGAGTGTTGAGTCAAGTTAAGTTATACATCAATACCATATTTGTTTTAAATAGGTTTGGGGGGGGGGGGGGGGGGGTCACTAATATGCAATGCTCAGACTTTAAGAAGTTACTGAAGTTACTCTAAATAGGAAGAGGGCTAACTTCAAGGTGAGAGGGGATTTAGACAGATGAAATGTAACCAAACACTGACATGAAAAGTATTAGCTCTAGCGTTGCAGTTAAAAAAAAAGTGCTTGAAGCACCACTTCGAACATAAAAAGGATCTTCCATGTATAATGTTCAATGAAAACTGATGTGAAGAAGGATTATATTAATAAATACTCCACTTATTTGTATGAAGTCAGTTTGAGAATAAAAAAAATGTAAGAAGGAATTTAACATGCAATTCATGCATAGTGGCTTCTCATTTTTTAAAAGTTCTTCACAGTGTAAGATGATCTTGCCCAACATGAGTCATTGCTTTCCAACCAAGACTTACACCAGTACTGGTACATCTCTGCTTTATTACTCTTGTATAAAAGGGAAAGTTCACATACTGACAGCCAAGTTTAATCCCATGCATAGAGAGGCATCACCTGCCATGTGTGATTATTGGATTACAATGAGGGCAGAAGGGGCACGTTGAGAGAGAGAGACAGAGAGAGAGACAGAAAATACTTGGAGGTAATAATATTCAAAAAAAGTACTGCTATAACAATTTTCAGTAGGAAATAAAATGCTGAATTGTCCAATGAAATCTATGCTAACCCCTGATGAATTATTAAATAACATTTTGCACTCCAACATCATTAGAATTGTATAGTATAAACATTACATACAAATTGAATGGATGACTGTTGCAGAAGGTTTGAGTCAGTATGCTCAGAGACCTCAAAATCAAGTTAATTCTTATTGCAATAACTGATCCTCTCCATTGTAAAACAGGCACTTAGGTATCCAATTCGATAATTACTTGCGTATAATTAGTACAAGCTCACAACATTTAAATGCATCAGTAAGATGAAAGGAAAAGATTATTGTTTCTTAACCATGCATCAACTGCTTACTTTCCAACGAGGTATGCAATCTCTTGGTTTCCAGTGACCACCAATCTGGATATAAGGATCCTTAGCAAATAATTCCTGGATTTCCTCCAAAGAAATTTCAGTCATGTTTACATTAATTGGACCCTCTGTTTGAAACATCAGAAACGCAAGGTGAGACTACTCCAAATGGAGATGACAGCATCAAGCAATTCTAGAAACAATGACATACTACGACAAGGTTACAGCTACAAGTCTAAAACTTGGCATCCACTCGGCAGACAAATTGTGCATTGCCAAAATGTGTAACCCATGGTTCAGCACATGCTTTATTCCTCCACCTTGGTTTGTGCATCAATGGGTTCGTAGAAAAACCATCAGGTGTATTTAGCAGGCATAGACCAGCAAGTACAGATACAACATTGGACTGTCTATATACTAATCATCAAAGATAAAACTAAACATTTCCACACCCAATAGGTTCAAGCAAAGCTCTGTAGTCATACCACATTTAGCAGAGAAAGGTAAATAATCAGAATAGGGGCTCCATAAATACACTCAGTTCTGGTGGAACAAAGAGTGTAATTTAAAAAAAAAAGAGAAAGCTGAACCATTTGCAAATATCTTCAACCAGATGTTATGACTCTCCCTTCTCTCAAGGTCTCGATCACAGATGCCAGTGTCTTACAAGCTTGTTCCTCTCTATGTATCTTTAAGAAGCAGCTAAGTGTACTAGACACAAAAATTATCACCTTGACATTTCCTAATTGTAGCAAAGATTTGCATATCAGAAGTTGGTACTTCCAATGTTAAAGTATTCCAGCACAGCTGTGACACTATCATCTGTCCAAAAAGGACATCAGGAAACTGATCACAGTACACCTTTTTCATAAAAAAAATTAAAATCTAACGAGTCATTATGACCATTAGACTCCTTACAAGTTATCAATAAATTGATTAAGGAATCAGCAACTGGGCTATCAAGGAATACCTACTCATTCACTACATTCATTAAACAATGTGATTAATCATAGTTTATGAAAATAAAAAAGGATGATTGTGGTTTGTTAGGAGGTTAACCACTGCAGGAAGAGCTCCTGCCAGGGGTGGAGGAAGCAGAGAATGTGTTTTGGATCCAATCAAATTTGTCATCGTTGCCTTCGTCTCTAACAGTTAGAAAGAAGTGGTACAATTTAATGACAGTTCTACAGTATCCATTCTCAATTCACATCTCCTCCCCTAACAGGTAGCACATCAGCCTACACCAGGACCTCACCACTATCCACATTATTTATCACAAGTGGCAAGCAACATTCACTCCATACAATGGAGATTTTTCAGAAAATGACAACAATAGGGAAACCATCTCAAGTTGACCTTCAGTATGACTACCGCTGCCAGGTTCTCCCATTAACATGAAGCCCAAATGGTCTAACCCAATATCAAAAAAAAGCTACATCATACAATGTACTGCGTAACAAGTGGCACACATTATTTATATGATTTAACTTAGAAACATAATGGAGTGTTGTAGATTTGCCATTCTCAATGCTTTTGTGAGAATAAAAGCACACAAAATACTGAATTTCTGAAGAAAGGTCCCAACCCAAAACATCAACTTTCCTGCTCCTCTGATGCTGCCTGGCCTGTTGTGTTCTTCTAGCTCCACACTGTTATATCTTACACAAAATACTTAAGAATCAGTAGCCCACTTGATTGAAATCTTTGCCACTTAACTCCACATTCATATCCTCCTATTGTGTTGCAGTGCCCATCTACAGGATACAGGATACTTTGCAGCTACATGTCAACAGATCTCTCATCCCTCTCAATAAAAGAACATAAAAATGAAAGGCACACTAAGTTCCTCTCAAGAAACTAACACCAATTAGATCTGGCCATGGATAATTTGCATCAATGTCACAAATCAAAATTCTTGAGTACAATACCGAGATTGGGACCACCATCAACATAGGGATTCCATTAGTTAAAGGGAAGACTTCCCATCAGCTTTGGGTTTTAGCCACAAATTATACCTCTTCTGTCTCTGTATAGACTTTAGTATAAAGTGCAGTTCATCAATTTGAGTTAAAGGGAAGCCTAAAATAGCTCCTAAAAACAAGAAACTTATTCTTTTCGAAGGGAATGCAATCAACTTAAATTTTGGATTCATGCTCAACATTATATCCAATAGTCATCAATTTATTAGATTTCAATGCTTATATTTTGTTAAGGGTTTCTGAATTTATTCCTAAACATTGTGGTATTTCTGTACGAGAGAAAATGCTAGTGAAGATGCTGCATGGATAAAATAATTCTCATCCTGCATAAGGCTGTATTTATGGGCAACACCACCACTAGATGTAGTGCCAAATGCACGAGTAGAAATACAGCATTGCAGTACTGTCATTGCCAACTGACTGAGCTACAGCTGCCTACCTTAAAAGGTGGTACTGTGCCATATATTCACAGGGTAGAAACAAACTCTGGCGTCCAATGTAAAAACACAAAGGCAGCTCTGCGACAATGAGTTTCTGCTTCAGTGTTAGGAATTGAAAATTGCCGTATTGGATCAGAGCAGGCAATGGATTTGAAACCAAACTGGTTGAATAACCGTTAAACAGTTCTAACCCTTCATCCTAACTTAGCCTGTCAAAACCAGCCATACAGCTGATCATGTACCTTCTCGTTTTACATCTGAACAATGAACATATCACAGTTCCGCTCTCTGTGCACTGAAAGCCAATCCATCAGTCATGACGTCACCTGGGCATGTGCAGAGGCATATCGACACACCCGACAGTTCAAGCACTGGAGACAGACGTCACTAGACTGTGCATGCACAGATAGCTCTCAACAGCCACCTTGAATGGAGGCTAGAGTTGGGAACAAACTCTAACAGGTTAATTCTGACAGAAATTTGATGCTTTTGTAGATTTACATTAACTTGTTTTTTTTTTAAAATATACTCACTCATAGACGGAAGTCTTTCAGGACACATGAGGTTTGCTTGGTAGGTAAAATCTTCAGGAAGAAATGTTGTGGTTTGTAGATAAGTTTCACTATGGTTTAAATCATCTGGATAATCTGAGAAGAATATTGAGACTTCAGTAAATTTCACTGCTTCAGGCATGGCACAAGTAAAGATACAGAACAGAGAAGTTAACAGTGACATTAAATGTAAAACTGCAAAAATAATTCAATCTTGAATATTAAGAGAAGCCTTTTCTCTTCTCAATGGTAGTCATGTATCAATCTACTAGACTTGAAGGATATCCAAAAGATGTATTATTACCTGGTACATTTTCAAATATTTACTGACGGAACTAAGTTTCTATGCTTTAGATTTTGGTGGTTTTGTTCCTAACAGGAGGAGGAAAATACATTTTTTTATTGTTATTATTTATGACTACCAGAGATACTCTCTCATTTTGAAATTGGGATGTATTTTCAGGATATGGGGAAGTTGCTAATTGGCAGAGCCAGAGGAAACTTCCCCTACAAAAAAAAGATTCTGAGTGCACGTGGTCAAATTCATCGACTGCAGATCAATCACAATATTACTGCCACCCAATTTACAACCAACTGATGAAGTTGGGCTATACGGATGCTGAAAATTATACTTTTCCAAGTCTTGCTGAGCAATAAGGGGTGTGAATGGGAAAGAGGTAGAAAACACCATTCAGCAATAAAGGACCAATCAGCTGGATTTGTCAATTGCCCAATACTACATGATGGCACATATCACAATAATACAACTTTTCCCCTTAGTTCAAGGGTGAGTAATGAGTGGGCACAATTTTAAGGTGAAGGGTGGATGTTTAGAATGGACATGAGGAAAAAGCTTGTCATCCAGTGGGTGGGAATCAAGAATGCACTGCCTGGGAGGACAGTTGGGGCAAGAAAATTCTCAAACTTTAAAAAGTACTTGGATGAACATTCGAAACGTCATAACATTCAAAGTTATGGGCCTAGTCCTGGAAAGTGGGACTAGCAAAAATGCAGTTTTTTTTGTCAATGGGCCAAAAGGCCTCTTCTGTACTCCATGATTCTGTATCTTCAAACTAATCGAAAATAATTTCAAGGTCTTTCCTCTTAGATTTGTACATTGATTTCAGGATGTGGAAGAATGGCGAACAAAGAATTTGGATACAATTTCTGCTGTTGAAACAAACTTCCAACTTTAACCATCAGGAGACTAAGTCCTCTATTGACTTTCTCACCATCACCTTTGAACCCAGAAGCAGCACGTTTATATCTTCACAGAAGCAAGGATTAACACATATTAAATTTGTGGTAAATTGCTTACTGAATGTTATACAATCAAATTCCCTTTGGTAAAAGTGGATATCACAACATCAGTTAACAAACTAAAACAAATACTATTGCAATTAGTGATATGAACCATGAAAGCTCTGCAAATACAGAAGAAACATTCAAGGTTACAAATAATTGCCCTTTGTAAGAGTGCCTTCAATGACAAGAATTGTAAGTTTTAAAAATTAAGTATTTTGCTCATGAAAGTAAATTTACTCATTTTTATCCTAATAAATCCTGTTACCTTTGTATAAACATCTTTTTCTCAGACAATGGTGCTTTTTTTTTAAATAAAACAGACATCTCTTTCAAAGTTACTGCCAATTTATTATGTAGATGCTAAATCAATTCATGAATTTCAAGATGCTTTGACTTTGAAACCTCAAATTTAGTACAAGGCATTGTTATCCCAGTTGACTGGGCCACGCTAGAACAAACCAAGCAAAGACACGCACGAGAATTCCTGGAGGCCTCACATTCAAACTGGAACTCCATGAACAAACGTGCAGAACTGGAACCATAATCCAACCTGGAAGTGACGCCACCCACCCCAAGAAACTAAGACACAAATAGCAAGCAGGACAGAACTCTGATGCTTCACCGGAAGCGCACTGATGATGTTACCTAGCACAGTGACAAAACGTTTGGGAACAAACTTACCAGCTCAGCAAGCAAGTCAACAACTGGGAAAATAATTCTACAAACGGAATTTTCTTGTTTGCTATGTAATAGTTTAAATTTGTTACCATGGCTACTGCATAAATACCTGTACCATTAAGGCTGCTGTTCATCTTAGCATAGGTACTGCGAACCACCTGCTCATACATTTGAGATCCCATTGTTTTCACACTCTCTCTGATCATGATGCCTTGGGCTTGCATCATAAATAGATACGTGTTTACTGGAAAAGAAAAAAAATACAAATACATACAGTTTAGCAAAATTGTACAATGGGGAATTGCTGTTTAATTGAACTGCAAGTGCTACATTTGAAAACCAAAAACAGTACAAACCCCAGTCTAATGATACAGATCTAAAAAGGAGGCATCTAACAGGGTGCAAACAGGAGTTTCAGACTTTGCACATTAGTTTGACTGAGATGAGGAATATGGGAATCTGGGATTTTGTCCAGCCAATAAAAGCCATAATACAGCAAACACTCAGGAACAGTTAAACTCAAAAAGGTGATAGAGGGTCCAATTCTTAGAAGTTCAAGGAGGCATCAAGGTACTGGAACTTTGGCACCTTAGGTGAAGATGATCCATTCTAGGTCAACCACGAAGTGTAGCTTTTGATGGTGCTTACTGTACAAGTCGAAGTAAAAGAGCCACATTTTTAAAAATGTGACTTTGTAGATTGTTAACAATATGTATTTATGCTGTATCTCAAAACAGAAGGAATGTTCTACAATGCATCAACAAGATTTGTAGAAGCAAGAGTGACTTATAAAAATGTGACGTAAAACACATGGGCAAAACCTGGTTGAAAAGCTGGGAAGTGAACTTGTGTCTATTTTCTTCAGGCCAATCTTTAATTCAGACCTTTAATTTTACACACTTCTGGAGCAGTAAAGATTTGAACCCAGGCCTCCAAAGCCCACATGATGTGGAGGTGCCGGTTTTGGACGGGGGTGGGCAAGGTCAAAAAAAAATCACAACACCGGGTTATAGTCCAACAGGTTTATTTCAAAACGCTCGCTTTCAGAGCTCTGCTCCTTCCTCAGATGTAGTGTGCAATAGGAGGTATATCGACAAAGAATTTATAAGCAGGAAAAGTAACAGCCCTAAAAATGGCTCACTGACCACCTCTTGTTGAATCTTTAATCAGTTAGAGAGGAAATGCAGGTTAGCTATTGAATTACCTCACCCCCTAACTTCCTAACATCTGTGAAGCATAGCTCAGAGAGGTGATGGAATGCCTCTTACTTGTCTTGATGTTTCAGCTCCAGTAATAATAATTTAAACTCGACGTCATCCATTTGATTGGCATACCACTTGTTACCATCACCATAGAAGCAGGTGTGTACCACCTACAAGACTCACTGCAGCAATTCACCGAACACTGCCCAAACCATAAAATTTTTTTATCAGCTAGAAGGATAAAGGCAGCAGCCACATGGGAACACCATCACCCACAGCTATCCTCCACGCCACTCATCACCCTAACTTGGGTCTATAAAGCTTTACTATCACTGTCACTGGGCTCAAAACTCGGAATGCTTGCTCTAACTGCAGTGTGGGTGCAACTACATCACAGGAATTGAAGGTAGCAAGTCTCCACTACATTCTCAACATTTATGGAGGACTGACATAAATCTACAATGCCAAAATACAAATAAAAAGCTACTCATATCATAATTAGTGACCTAGTAAACCTGACTGAACAATGAGTAATGCTTAAGGCAGCAATGAGGGCGTGGAAGAGGGGATTATTTCACCGATTGTAATGATTGCTGACTCGGTGCGGGCAGACTAAGAGGTACAGTTCAGCCTGTGACAGGATACAGTGACAACTTGCAATTTCAACATTTGTGCCAACTTGTGCATGTGCTACACCCTGGAATTGCGAAATTTCAGAACTAATGACAGCCAACACCAGCTGTAACCACTTCACTGGCAAAATCCAGGTGCTTGCATTCTCCAACATTTCCCGGACAACGCTTCACCTTCTATAATCCAAGGCATGCAGTTCAGTTGTACCTCCTGTATTGATCAGTGACACAGAATTTCCTAGGTGGGCAATCATACACATTATCGAGTGATTGCCAATGACAATGTGCTGCATTGAACTCCATGCAATTAAACAGAGGGCCTATCTTGCTTCTCTAGCTCAGTTCAGGTTGTATAAAACTCACTGAGCTGAAGCAAAATGTGCCACAATCAAACTCTACAATCAACTTTAAGTATTTTTAATCTATATATCTCATTATTTAAATACATGCTTAATAGGCGTTTTCTACGTTAGGTAAACATCACCAGACCAACACTGGCAGGATTTTTCCACTTGTGTTCACCGACCCATAAATGTCTGACCAATAATTTTTAATGTACAGGAATCTTGTGAACTGACAGCACTGAAGTAGAATGCTCTGGTACTGGTACTCAAAGTTATTTGCAAATCTCAATAACAAGCTTCAAATCTTTTATCATTGGAAATTTTCAAACTAAGAAAAAAAAATTCTGGATTGTTTAAAACTTTAAAAGAAACACAACCAAGTTAGGATGGCTAAGTGAACAGATAACAAATAAAATGGAGTTAGAATTTTAATGAGTATAAATTTATAAAATCCAATTACATTTTCTGCAGTAGTCTATTGTACTTTGAAATAGTGAATGGTTAATAAGGTCTACTTCCTGCAGAAAAATATAGCTGTTACATTAAAAGACAGAAATTGCTGGAATTACTCAGCAGGTCTCATACATTGGTCATGGGAGAGGAGGGGAGGGGGGCAAACACGAGAGAGAGAGAGAGAGAGAGAGCGCGCATGCGAGAGAGTGGGGGTAGTGAAATGTTAATAAGACAGTATGTCCTTTCAGCTGCTCACAGCAGGCAAGGTACTAATGGCACTGTTCAAATACAACCAGCTAGTGCTTGCAAATGTCTAAGTATTGTCCAATATTAGATGAGATTCTGTGATGGGACAACTTTTGCTAGATGATCCTGAGTGTGCAAAGAATAATGCTGACACAACCAATTTAGGATTGTCATTTTGACTTGCAGTGCGATGTGTTTGTATGTACTGAAACTACATATATTAATATACAAGGCCCTCTTTGCAAACAGAAAAAAAAAATATTTAAACATACTACGCCTAATCCAACTGAACAAAAGAGGCAGCACCATGTTCTGGTTCATTCCTCAGAGCAACGCCTCAGTGTAAATCTGACTGGTTTAAATTTAAGCCAAGCTAGGCAACTGTCAGTTTCATCTAAGTGATGCATGTCCGACAACAATGCCTCCACCAATCAATTTACTTGCCAGCTCATCAGCACACTCTTCTCATACAATATAAACATGCTGTTCCCCTTTACATTGCTATTCTTGTAAATTGTCTTGATGAGAAGTGCAAAACGAAAATGTGACTTGTTTCAGCAGTACTCAAGTTTTATACTGTCAAACTGGTATATTTTGATTGAAATTTGTTGCAAAAACTGCGGCATTATATACATATTAATATACATTAGTTGATAATTGTATCTAGCTCACCGGAGTGCTAATCAGTCTATATTTGCACAAAATTGGAGACGTACAGATGCTGACCTGCATTGGTTACAATTTCTCCTGCACACAAGAGGTGTTATTGTCATATGCAAGGGTCATGTAATTGCCATTACTTGGCTGAAGTACAAAAAGCAACTGTCTGAAGAAGGGTCTAGGCCCGAAACGTCAGCCTTCCTGCTCCTCTGATGCTGCTTGGCCTGCTGTGTTCATCCAGCTCTACACCTTGTCCAAATAAGAGTGATTGATTATGCTGAACCCAAGTACATTGCTAGTGCAGATTCAATTTGTAACAGCCAGTTCTTTGATGACCGTGTGTCAGAATAAATAACCACATGGGAAGTTAGAATAAGATGCCATTTTAAATTCTCATTTTCATTCAGTGTAGGTGTAGACTTTCTGTTGAGGAACAGGACTAAAAGAATCAAGTGTCATATGAATTATTCCAACAAGAAAGCAATCAAATATAATAAGACCACTAGAAATAGGAACAGGAGTACACTCTCAAGCCTGCTCTGCCATTCAGTCAAATCATGTCAGCCTTAAAATATACACAAGAACTCTGCTCCCACAGCTCTCTATGACAAGCAGTTGCATTGACTCTCAATGCTGCAAGAGAAGAAATTCCTCCTCATCTCAGTCTTAAATTACCACCCTTAACTCAGACAATGCCCGCTGGTCTTGGACACTCCCATGAGGGGAACACATTGGCCTGAATCTTTGAGCAGTTGCAACAATGGGCTATACTCAAAAGATGCCTCTGACCTGAAACTACTGCTAAATTTCTTCTGAGGACTTCTAATCCTGATGCAGAAAAAAAAATGCACAGGACTTCATCACTGGAGTGGCGTAGTCAGTGGAAAAGGACATGTCAGCTTTATTGGCACCAGTTGCTGTATTCCGATTAGTGAAAAAGCTCCAGTCTTTTAATGAACATTAATGAAAGGTTGAATGGAGCATATGGATTTCCAGTCAGCAGGGGGTCATTTTTTCAGGTTGGGGTGTTAGGTACATGGTCAACAGTTTTGCAGCGTGAGATGGTGTTGCTGGGTTGGCTAAATCTCAGCTGGTAACTTGGTGGCCATGGAGAGGGGACGGTAGTCTGGTGCGAATTAGGTCAGGTAGTTATCTGCATTTTTTCAAAAGTTCTAGTAGTGCTGACATATTATTGTCAATTATCAATAATTGTAGAATTGGCATATTTCAAAGTAAACCCATTACTTAGATTTTGCAACAGTAACAAAAACAAATGTTTTCACCATTTGTCAAGCTTAGATTTTTGGCACACTTCTGCAAGTCTGATACAGTTTAGTTCCATCTAAAGGGTATCTGCAAACTGAGAGCAGCAATGTATCTCTCCAACCCAACTGTACATTAGTAAGAATACATCAAGTCTGAAATTAAATGTCAAGTTTTGTACAGAAAGTTAAAGACATAAAGAGAGCAAACAATTGTTTGAGAAAAAGAAAATGCTTTAAAAAAACTCCAATGATTAAAATCTAAACAAATGGGATTTCAGAATTGTAAAAGAAAGATTTCAGCAACAAAGATTATTTGATCATAATTAAGATTTACTGCCCTGCAGAAAACTTACTTTCGCTTAAATGGACAAACTTGACTCTTGAACATTTTGGGGTGTGAGGGGTGGGGAGGGGCATGGTATCTAGCAGGTAAGCACAATAA